ACCCAAATCAATGCCCATACCATCAGCCAGAGGAGGGTCTTCCCAAAAAGTGCTAACCTTAAAAATAACACTAAAAATATGAAAGGGAAAGGGGGTGTGCAGGTTGCCTTAACATTCTAAAAAATGAGAGAGACAGAGAGGAGGGGTGTCACCCTAACCTTAAGGTGAGGGCCTTTTTCTTTGGGGGTGGGGTTGACAGGAGTGTGAGGGCAGAATGGAGGGGCAGGGTTGCTGGGAGACATGCTGGCCCCCAGGGTTTTAGGGGAGCCTGGACATTGCAACAAGTGCAAGGGCATGTGAAAATTGGGGAAAAATGGCTGACACTGGACTGGCTCACATTAAAGGGAGCCCTGGGAGGCCGCACAGGGCCAAGGCCAGCACAGGACCTGGGACCAGGGGTTTTGGGGGTGCACAGACTACCAGAGCATGAAAAGGGAAAAATCCGGGTGAGCACTGACCCCAAATGAGGGCAGGGGAGTGGATTTGGGTACCCTAAACAGAGGGGAATAGGTATAGGATATCCATGGCCGTGAACACCCAGCTGGGTATTTACGGCCGTGGATATCCAGCTGGGCCTGCACGGCCGTGAACACCCAGGGTGTTTACGGCCGTGGATACCCAGCTGGGTGTTTACGGCCGTGGATACCCAGCTGGCCTTGCACGGCCATAAACATCCAGCTGGGTATTTATGGCCATGGATATCCAGTTGGGCGTGCACAGCCGTGAACAACACCCAGCTGGGTATTTATGGCCGTGGATACCCAGCAGGGCCTGCGCGGCCGTAAACATCCAGCTGGGTGTTTACGGCCGTGGATATTCAGCTGGGCCGGCGCGGCCGTGAACACCCAGCTGGGTGTTCACGGCATGTCACGCAGTGACACACTGTCACGGCTGCAAATACCCAGCTGGTAGTTCACGGTCGTAAACACCCAGCTGGTAGTTCACGGTCGTAAACACCCAGCTGGGTGTTCACGGTGTCACACAATGTGACACACTCTCATGGCCGTGAATACCCAGCTGGTAATCCACGGTCATCCTTGTCATTTAGGGCTAGCTAACCCTAACTCCATATTTCGTTCCTACACCCTAGACCGGCCTCGGTCAAAAATCCTTCTAAATATGCATGATTTTGGTAGCTAATAAATTACTAATGATTTTAAGGTAATTACTTTATATTATATTCATGTAGTACTCAGGCAAAACGTACGTCTGTGTATGCCGTGGTCCCCGGACGATACTTATGGGGCATGGCCTTGGATTTTCCAGGATTCATGTACGAGAATTACATTGTATATTCCAGGCTCCAGGTACGTTGTGCTTGTGTATTGGTTTTTTATTTTAATTGTATATTACATTGATTCTCGTCATTTAGTCCCAGCTCCAGTGTGTAGCCTTACACAATAAAGATGTACGTATGCGTTACATTGATTTTCGTCATTTAGTCCCAGCTCCAGTGTGTAGCCTTACACAATAGAGACATACGTATGCTGTAATGGGGTAACCCATGCTATACGTGCGTGACATTCCTGGTCTGTACGAGTCCTCACCTACGTTTCCCAGCCGCTAATAGCGAGTGTTCTTATGTCCCCGCACTGGTTACTGGTGACCACGTATGTCCGGATCTATCTTGCCGCTCATTATACCTCAACTGGCTTACACGCCTTCTTCGATACGCAACCTGGCGCACAACATCTGCCTCGCAATGAAAAAGATTGCTCTTCCTGCAGCGACCCATCCTCTGTAGTTCTCTTACCTCAACTGGCTTACAAGCCTTCTTTGATACGCAACCTGGCGCACAACATCTGCCTCGTAATGAAAAATATTGCTCTTCCTGCAGCAACCCATCCTCTGTAGCTCTCTTCTTGGTTCTGATATGCTCAGCCTCTAACCCTCATTATAGCTTCCTTCTCCCACAGGGTGACTAAAAGCAACAGAACCAATCCCAATGAAAGAGCAACGCAAAGCCTCTGTCAAAGCTTTGCCTTATGCCAAGGAAATCTTAAAAACTCACAAGCAATTCAAAAATAAAAGATACAAGAAGATCCAGCAAATAGATCGTGGGGTTACTGCACTTTCCAGTACATCGAAGAAACACCTGAAGAAGGATAATCTCATTCCAACCATGTCAGATGCAAAGACTCTTCCACACACCCAGCCGGCATTTGTAGGGAAGCCATCGAGCGTCTCCGTGCAAAGTTCCGGCCCTCCACCCACACTATTCCCACATTATGCCGGCACTATTCCTACATTATGCCGGCTTAACCCTGGCATAGTGCTCTCCCTTGACTGGTCCGGGATTTTTGAGTCACGCTGAGCGTGACTAGGGCTAAGGGCACATGTGACGAATGTGCCGCCTGTTTTCCATCAACTTCACCACTTGCCACTACCATGTCAAATGTTGATTCTAGTGAGTTATCCATTCTATATGTATTTTTAGCTAATCCTTCATGGTTTTACTCTATTTAGTACCCATTATCATTGGCGAAAAGATCAAGCTCACTGTCAACCACCAAGATTATTTGTGGAACCGCTACATTGCCAAAGTCCTCCTGGCCACCAATGGCCATGAGATGCTGCTAGGTGACATTTGTGTGGTGACTGCCAATCCTTCAGGATTTCTCAATAATGAAAATATCCCTCATGACATCTACATCCGCATAAATAACTATGCCTGGAAGCCACTCTCTGACTGCCACCACTCAAACATTGGCAAAGAGAAATCTGCCATGCATCCTATCTTTGGTCACAAAATTCTCTTCAACCTTCCCCGACTCCTTTGGCAACACAAGTCAAATATCCAGGAGCTGGTCAAGCAAAAGCAAGCTGCCTCGCATCCACCCAGCCCATCTCGACTACCTTCGCCACCCAGGAAGGTTGCAAGAGTGGAAGGTGGGAGTGATGGGTCCTCTACAGATATCCTTCCTGGGATTCTAGGTGTGTAACAATTTATTAATTATTTTTCCACTCTATTCAACATTCATGCATATATACACAGAGATGCCTGTACTCAAGCATCTGGAGAACCAGTGGCTCCTCAACCTGTATCAGGCATGGGTGTCTCCTCTCCTCTCAAAGATCATGCCTACCCATCAGGAGGGCAAGATGGCATTGCTCAAGGTCCTAGAAATGGACCAAATTTTCCCTCAATTCCCCAATGCCACTTCTAACATTGTGGAGTGCCTTCAGCCAGAATCTGTCTTTCAGCCTGACCTTGACATGGCATTGGCAGATCTCATGGCCTCTGCAGACAAAGATGAATACCTCCATGTTATCAATTATTCACTAGATGCACCTGTCAGCAAGGCCACTCCTTATGCTATCATTGCATCTATGCTTGCAGCACCATTTAGGACTGAGTATGATTGGGCAGCAGGGGCTCCACTCTATGGTACGCTAACAGTTCCCTTCAGCAACGAAGGGTTAGGTCAAGGTGAATGGCCATACCAGCCATATGAGAACAGCCCACAATTTGCTCTCAGCCCCAAGTCACTCTGGACATCCGTCATTACCCCCCCTGGAGCAATTACAAACCCTCATGTGGATGATACTACCTGCTCCCACTTTTTCACCCACATCCATGGCTGCAAACTCTGGTTCCTATGGCCATGGACACCTGCCAATGCAGATCTTTGGGTTAAACATCATACCAAGAAGAATTATGTCCTAAATTTGGCAGAGGGGCTGGAGCATTTAGAAGGGTTGGAGCTGCTTTGGATGGATGGATCTCAGAGGAGCTTTTCAATGCCCCCCCATCACTTCCATGCCTGCATTTCCTTTGAGGTATGCGCTCATGCCTCCCTTCCATTCTGGGGGATTCCTGCATTTGATGATGCTGAACGGGTCACCAAGCACTACCTCTGGAAAGCCCTGAAGTTTACTGGGAGTGACGAGCTTGACAGGGACCTTGAGAGTTTCTTTTCAGGGTTGATCCTGAGTGACTTTGGTACCTGGAGGGGCTTGGCAGAGGAGGGTGGGGACTTGCACCTGAGGAACAGGATTCTTGATTGGGTTAAAGCTGTGGATGGGCATATTGATGCTGCTCTCAGGAAACATCCTGATGCCAAGGGGGCTGTGCTGGAGGCCCGTGTGGAATTACAGGCCATGAAGAAGGCTGAGGCAAAGAACAGGCAGGCTGTGTCTCAGGGCAGAAGGGGTGAGAAATAATGTACATAATTTAGCCTTGGATAGTTGTGGATGTTTCTCCTTTTGTTCAAGGGGGTTCA